GTCCTCCAGGCTTGGCCTGCAGACACCCACCACCAGAGCTATCAAGCCAATAGCAACTCAGCAACTCCCTGGACAGAACCTTCCAGGGCAACTGAAAACCTCTCTGCCCCTGCCTCTGCAGTGGAACTGCCTTTGCCACCCTTGGACTAACATAGGAGCAAAGACCCTAAGTGCCTTATACACACCTCCAACAAGCTACATTTGACCCAAGAAGAGGAAGCCAGTCAATTTTCCATGGGTCCCCCACACCCCCCATTGCTCATCACCAGACAGGGAATCCCCGGCTTGGGCCCACCAGCACAGACCCTCCATCTTGGGCTAATTGCACTGAGCAGCTGCTGACCTGCATCTTTCTGGGGTGGAGCCCCTGGGAGACAAGCAAAAGACCCTTGTCCACAACCACTACTAAGGTCCTTCCTTTCTGCCTCCAATTTGAGGAAGGAACATCAACACTGAGATCACCCCAGAGCTGCAGTGGGCAGCCCAGGAGCACCAAGCCACGATCTACAGCCAGCACTCAAAGGAGAGAGAAACCAATACTTTCAGAGCATTGAGAGGGAACATGGCCACAACTGTGAGGAAACATAGGGGAGCCACACAACCAAGCAAGAGTCTACAAACTGACCAACAAACACAAGTGCCACCTGCTGGATCACACCCTAAACCTTCAACACCAAAAATACCTCACTAACATACCCTCCTCTGAAACCAGAGACAAGAAGTCAGCTTCAAACAAAGACCCTGCACAAAGACTTGGCCCTGTGAAAAAATCCAGAAAAAGAAGTCTATTGATGTATTCAATCTACACTGCAGTTAAAGGAACACCAACACGCAGGGATGAGAAAGAACCAACGCAAGAACTCCAATAACTCAACTGGCCAGATTGTCATATGTCCTCCAAATGGCACACCAGTTATCCAACAAGAGTTCTTAACCAGGCTGAAATGGCTGGAATGACAGAAATAGAGTACAAAATATGGATAGAAACAAAAATCTTCGAGATTCAGAAGGATGGCAAAACCCAATGCAAGGAAAATAAGAATCACAATAAAGCAAAACGGGAGCTGAAGGACAAAATAACCAGTATAAAAAAGAACCAATGCATCTGACACAGCTGAATAACATAATACAATAATATCACAAGTATTAACAGCAGAATAAATCAAGCTGAGGAAAGAATCTCAGAACTTGAAGACTGGAAATAGGAACACTTTTACACTGTTAGTGGGACTGTAAACTAGTTCAACCATTGTGGAAGACAGTGTGGCGATTCCTCAAGGATCTAGAACTAGACATACCATTTCACCCAGCCATCCCATTACTGGGGATATACCCAAAGGAGTATAAGTCATGCTGCTTTAAAGACACATGCACATGTATGTTTATTGTGGCACTATTCACAATAGCAAAGACTTGGAATCAACCCAAATGTCCATCACTGACAGACTGGATGAAGAAAATGTGGCACATATACACCATGGAATACTATGCAGCCATAAAAAAGGATGAGTTTATGTCCTTTGTAGGGACATGGATGCAGCTGGAAACCATCATTCTCAGCAAACTATTGCAAGAACAGAAAACCAAATACCACATGTTCTCACTCATAGGTGGGAATTGAACAATGAGATCACTTGGACACAGGAAAGGGAGCGTCACACACCAGGTCCTATAGTGGGGAGGGGGTAGGGGGCAGGGATAGCATTAGGAGATATACCTAATCTAAATGGCGAGTTAATGGGTGCAGCACACCAACATGGCACATGTATATATATATATGTAACAAACCTGCACGTTGTGCATATGTACCCTAGAACTTAAAGTATAATAATTTAAAAAAAAATCCTATCATCCACAAAAAAAAAAAGCTATTCCACCATGGTCAATTAGGCTTTATTCCTGGGTTGCAAGGTTCGTTCCACATACACAAATCAATAAATGTGATTCATCACATGAACAGAACTAAAGACAAAAACCACATGATTAATAGACACAGAAAGTGCTTTTGACAAAATGCAACATTCTTTCTTGTTAAAAATTCTCAATCAACTAGGTATTGAAGGAACACACATTAAAATAGTAAGAGCCATCTATGACAAACCCACAGCTAACATTGCTGAATTGGCAAAAGTTGGAAGCAAATCCTCTGGAAAACAAGCACAAGACAAGGACGCCCTCTCTTGCCACTTCTATTCAACATAGGATGAAGTACTGGCCAGAGCAATAAGACAAGAGAAAGAAATAAAGAACATCTAAATAGGAAGAGAGGAAGTCAAACTATGTCTGTTTGCAGACAACATGATTCTATATCTAGAAAACCCTATGGTCATGGGCCAAAATCTCTTTGAGCTGATAAACAACTTCAGCAAAGCTACGGGATACAAAAATCAATGTACAAAAATCACTAGCATTCCTATACACCAACAAGATCCAAACCAAGAGTCAAGTCAGAAAGGTAATCCCATTCACAATTGCCATAAAAAGAATAAAATACCTAGGAATACAGCTAACCAGGGAGGTAAAAGATCTCTACACTGAGAATTACAAAACACTGCTCAAAGAAATCAGAAAAGACACAAACAAATGGAAAAACATTCCATGCTCATGAAGATGAAGAATTAATATTGTTTAAATGGCCATACTGCCCAAAGCAATATACAGATTAAATTCTATTGCTATCAGACTACCAACAACATTCTCCATAGAACTAGAAAAAAGGCTATTTTAAAATTGATATAGAGCCAAAAAAGAGCCCAAACAGCAAAAGCAATCCTAAGCAAAAAAGAACAAAGCTGGAGGCATCACATTACTCACTTCAAACTATACTACAGAGATACAATATCCAAAACAGCATAGTACTGGTAAAACAAACAAACAAGCAAACAAAAAAAAAACAGGTACATAGATAAATGGAACAGATTAGAGAGACTAGAAATAAGGTCACACATCTATGACCATCTGATCTTCAACAAAGCTGACAAAAACAAGAAATGGAGAAAAGACTCCCTATTTAATAAGTGGTGCTGGGATAACTGGCTAGCCATGTGTGGAAGATTGAAACCGTTGAATCTGGACCCTTTCCTTACACAATATATAAAAATCAACTCAAGATGGATTAAAGACTTAAATGGAAAACCCAGAAGTATGAACACCCTGGAAGACAACTAGGCAATACCATTCTCAACATAGGAATGGGCAAACATTTCATGACCAAGACACCAAAAGCGATCACAACAAAAGCAAAAATTGACAAACAGTTATCTAAATAAGAGTTTCTGCACAGCAAAAGAAATATCGACAGAGTCACAGATAACCTACAGAATCAGACACATTTTTGCAAACTATGCATCCGACAAAGGTTTAATATCCAGCATGTATAAAGAACTTAAAGAAATGTACAAGAAATAAAAAACTACCCCATTAAAAAGTGGGCAAAGGACATGAACAGACACTTTTCAAAAGAAGGCATATATGCAGCCAACAAGCATATGAAAAAAAGCTCAACATCACTGATCATTAGAGAAATGCAAATGAAAACCACAAAGAGATATTATCTCATACCGGTCAAGATAGCTATTATTAAAAAGCCAGAAAAATAGCATGCTGGTGAGGTTGCAGAGAAAAGGGAATGCTTATATGCTGTTGGTGGGAGTGTAAATTAGTTCAATCACTGTGGAAAGCAGTATGGCAATTTCTCAAAGAGCTAAAAGCAGAACTACCATTCAACCCAGCAATCTCATTACTTGGTATATACCCAGAGGCATATAAATCATTCTACCATAAAGATACATGCACATGAATATTCACTGCAGCTCTATTTACAATAGCAAAGACATGGAATCAACCTAAATACCCATCAATGACAGATTTGATAAAGAAAATATGGTACATATACACTATGGAATACTATGCAGCCACAAAAAGAATAAAGTTTTGCCTTTTCTGGGAACATGGATGGAGCTGGAGGCTGTTAATCCTTAGCAAACTAATGCAGGAACAGAAAACCAAAAACCGCATGTTCTCATTTATAAGGGGAAGCTAAATGATAAGAACTTATGAATGCAAAGAAGGAAACAACAGACACTGGGATCTACTTTAGGGTGAATAGTGGGAGTAGGGAGAGGTGCAGAAAAGATCACTATTGGGTACTGGGCTTAATACCTGGGTGATGAAGTAATCTAGTTTAATTTACCTAGAAATGGTAGTTTACCTATGTAACAAACTTTCACATGTATCCCTGAACCTAAAATAAAAGTTGAAAAAAGAAAGAAAAAATGTACCTCAACACAATAAAGGCCTTATATGACAAGCCCACAGGTAACACCACACTCAATGTTGAAAAGCTGAAAGCATTTCCTGCACGATCAGGAACAAGACAAGAATGCTCACTCTTGCCACTTCTAACACGGTGGGAAGTTCTAGCCAGGGCAGTTAGGCAAGAAATAAAGATAAAAGATATCCAAACTGGAAAGAAAGACATAAAATAACCTCTGTTTACAGATGACATGATGTTATACATAGAAAACTAAAGACTCCACTTGAAAAAAAAAATACAGAAATCAGTTGTGTTTCTACCTACTAACAATTCACTATACAAAAAAGAAATTAAAGAAACAATCTTATTTACAATAGCTACCCCTAAAATACTCACGAATAAATTTAACCAAGGAGGCAAAAGACCTATCCACTGAAAACTATAAAACGTTGATAAAAGAAATTGAAGATGACACAAATAAATACAAATAAATATATATATATGTGTATATATATATATAGAGAGAGAGAGAGAGAGTGTGATGTTTATGGATTAAAGTGATATTGTTAAAATGTCTTTACTACCCAAAGCAATCTATATAGTCAATGAAATTCTGTCAAAATTCTAATATCATTTTTCACAAGAGTTTAAAAAAATCTAAAATCTATATGGAACCACAAAAGACCCTAAGCAGCCAAAGCAATCTTCAACAAAAAGAACAAAGCTGGGGCCCTCACACTACTTAATTTCAAAATATAGTAACCAAAACAAAGCTGTGGCAATCAAAACATACTATTATAATTAAAACAAAGCTATAGTAATAAAAAATATCCTACTAGCGTAAAAATTGACATAAAGACCAATGAACAGAATAATAAACCCAGAAATAAGGCTACACATTTATGGTCAGTTGAACACAGAACATACAAAGAGAAAAGGATAGTTTCTTCAATAACGGTGTTGGGAAAACTGGATATCCACATGCAGAGAAATGAAATTGGGCCCTTATCTTAAAAAAAAAAAACAACTCAAAATGGATTAAATAGTTACATGTTAGGCCTAAAACTGTAAACTACTAGAAGAAACACAGGGAAAATCTTGATCTGGGTGATGATTTTTTATGACACCAAAAGCAAAGGCCACAAAAGCAAAAATAGACAAACATGGTTACCTCAAACAAAACATATCCTGCATAGCAAAAGATGCGATCAATAGTGTGAAGAGACAACCTATGGAATAGGAGAAAATATTTGTAAATCATACATCTCACAAGGCGTTAATATCCAAAATACACAAGGAACTTAAATAACTCAAGAGCAATTAAACAAATAACCCGATTAAAAAATAGGCAAAGGACCTGAACAGACATTTCTCAAAATAAGACATACAGGTTTCTTTATGACAAGGGTATGAAAAAATGCCCAACATCAGTAATCGTCAATGAAAGGCAAATCAAAACCACAATGAGATATTATCTCATACCTGTATATTATCAAAAAGACAAAAGATACCAAGTGTTGGCAAGAATGTGGAGAAAAAGTAACTCTTGTACACTGTTGGTGGGAATGTAAATTGGTACAGCCATTATGGAAAACAGGATGGAAGTTCCCCCAAAAAATTAAAAATAAGAACTATCATATAATCCATCAAGTTTCTGGGTATATATCTGTTATATTCTGATTGTTTATGTTCCCACAAAATTGATGTGTTTAATGTGATGATAAATCTTCATGCTTAATGTGATGATAACAGGAGGTGGGGCTCTTGGAACGTGACTAGGTCATGGGGGTAGTGACTTCATAAATGTGATTAGTACCCTTGTAAAAGAGGCTCAATAGGAAGTTTAAAACCAAAAATAAAAGAGGCTCAAGAGAAAACCCTTGTCCCTTTCACCATGTGAGGTTAGAGTGAAAAGATAGATGTCTATGAGAAAGTGGGCCTTCAGTAGACACTGAATCTGCCAGTGCTTTGGACTTCACCTCCAGAACTGTAGGAAATAAATTTCTGTTGCTTATAAGCCATGCAACTTATAGTATTTTGTAATAGCGGTCCAAACTAAAAGAGAAAATTGGTACCAAGAACTGAAGGTGCTGCTGTAATAAATACCTAAAATATACAAACAGTTTTGGAACTGGGTGATAAGTATAGGCTGGGAGTGAGAGGTTTGTGCTAGAAAAAGCCTGCATTGCTATGAATGGACCATTAAGGATGATTCTGCTGAAGTTCAGAAAGCCTCAGTTTTCTTAGTGAATACCTAAGTGGATATACTAATAACTTAGGTTATTGGTAGAAATATGGCTGGTAAAGACCATTCTGATGAGATCTCACCAGAGATAAATGAAGAATGTGTTGTTTGGACAATGGAAGAACAGAAATCCTTATCATAAAGTGGCAAATAACTTGGCTGTGTTGTGTTCTTGTTCCAGTATTTTGTGGAAGGTAGAATTTGTGAGTAATGAAATTGGGTATCTGGCTGAGGAAATTTATAAGCAAAGCGTTGAAGGTACAGTGTGGCTTCTCTTCACTGCCTATAGTAAAATGTGAGAAGAGAGAAATGAAAATGGATTTGTTAGTTAAAGGGAAGTAGCATTGAAACATTTAGAAAATTCTTAGTCTGTCCATATTGGAAAAAGATAAGAAAGCTTTATCAGAAGAGAAAATGATGTGGTCTATTGATCATTTGATAAAGAAAATTAGTATGGATCAGCCATCTCAATGGAAGTCATGTGCTATTGACCAAGGCAGTGAGCCATCTAAACCCAAGCGAGGACCTATTGTCCAGGACAATGGAAAAATGACCCCAAAGGCATTTCAGAAATCAGTAGGGCTGACTGCCGTCACAGAATGCTAGGGCCCGTGGGATCAGAACAATTTCAAAGGAGGGGCCACTGCTGCCCAGAGTTACCTCACATTGTGGACTCTGCTCCCCACACTCTGTTGCCATGCTGCTCGGCTCCCCTAGGTGCTGCTCTGGCAGGCTCTGGTGTGGTGTGTGCTGAGCTCAGCAAAGCTGTGGGGACAGGCAAAGCTTTGGAAGCTGGACTACTACCAAAAAGGGTCCAAAAGGCAGGACCTCCATATCAGTGGGCCTTGAGAGCATCAAACCAAAAAAGATTATTCTTGAGTCGTAGGGTTTTGGACTTGCGTGGTAACTGTCACTCCTTTATTCATTTTTATTTTTCCCTTTCAGAGTGAGAATGTCTATCTTATGCCTGTCCTACCATCATATGTTTGAGGCTCATAATTTACTTGATTTCACTGATTCACAACTGGAAAGCAATTTGCCTCAGAATGAATTATACCATAAGTCTCACCCATATCTGATTTAGATGATAATTAGATGAGACTTTGGAGTTACATGTGAAAATTGATCCTGAAACAAGATTGTTGAGGCTACTGGGATGAAAGTAATGTATTTTGCATGTGATAAGGGCATACATTTTGGGGAGCCAGGAACAGAATGTTATGGTCTAAATGATTACATCCCCCCAAAATTCATATGTTGAAATCCTCACTCCCAATGTGATAGTATAAGGAGGTAGGCCCTAGGGAAGTGATTAGGTCATCGAGTCAGAGCCTCCAGAAATGAAATTAATGCCCTCATAAAAGAGGCTGAAGAGAGACCCCTGAATATATATTCCACTGAATATATATATTCCAGTGGATAAAGATATATTTAATTTCCTTTAGGTATTAGCCCATGCGGGCTGCTATAAAAATATCATGAACTAGGTGGCTTATAAACAACTATATATATATAATATATATGTATATTATATATATATATTCCACTGAAATGTATCTTTATCCATTGTGAATAATGCTGCAATGAGCATTATTATAGAAATATCTGCACTCCCAGGCTCACTGCAACATTATTCACAATAGCCAAGATATAGAAATAACTCAAGTGCGTCCATGGACAGATGAATGGATAAAGAAAATGTGGTGCACTATTAACATTCCATTAACAATGGAACATTATTCAACCTTGAAAAAGAAGTAAATCGCGTCATTTGCAACAATATCAATGAACCCAGAGGACAGTATGCTAAGTAAAGTAAGCTAAGCACAGAAAGACAAGCACTGCTTGATCTCACTTCCATGTGGAATTTGATAAAGTAGAATGCACAGAAGCAAAGAATAGAATGTTGGTTGCCAGGGGCTGGGTGTTGGGGGAAATGGGGAAATGTTTGTCAAAGGGTACAAAACTTTAGTTATGCAGGATGAATAACCTCTGGAGATCTAACATACAGCATGACAACTATACTTAATAATACTGTATTGCATTTTTGCAATCTGCTAAGAGAGTAGACCTTAAATGTTCTCACCATACCAAAGAAAATAGTAACTGAGAGGTGCTAGATGTGTTAATTACCTTGATTTAATTATTTCACAATGTATATGTGTATATATACACATATATATTAAAAATCACATTATACACATTAAACATATTTAATTTTTATTTATCAATGATACCTTAATAAAGCTAAAGGGAGGTAGGTATTTCTGTAACTATCTTGCAAAATACAATTCATCACATTAACAAATCATAGTAAATTAAGAAGAATAAAACTTACATTACTACCAAAAGGAATGCCATATTTTTGAAATCATCTTCAAAATCCTATTTAAAACATCTGCAAATATATTTTTTTCAGCTTCTTCCCTTATATTTTTTATTTTTTCATCACATTTTATTTTTAATAATTTTATTTTTTCCTCCTTTTCTGCCTCTGATTTATGCTCATCCTCTTTTACTAGTTTAATTTCTTCACTTAATTGATCAATGTAGATTTTCCTCAAAATCTCTTCCCGTTGTTTCAGCCTTTCCTCTGTGTCCTTGTATATGGCGTCAGAAAAGTAGGCCCCTTTGTTGCACTGCACCATTTTCTCTATCAGCTCCACCAGCTCCTGCACTTGACCTTCCTTCTCTGCCTCACTGGTTTGGCTGCTGTTGCTAAAGGCACAGCAGCGGTTCCCGCACTCCTGGACGATGCTTTTTAGGTTCACATCCGCATCTGCTATGAAGTCACTCAAGCTCTGGCCCTCCAACTCTTCTTTGCGAGTGAACAAGATGACCATGTGCTTCATGGCTGGCTTCCCAAAGACAGCCTTGATCAATGCAACAGTTTTCTGCTCTTCCTCTGTGTAGCGGCCCAGCTGCAGAACCAGGACAATAGCATGGGGCCCTGGGCAGGAGGAGATGACACAGCGGCTGATTTCCCTACAGGTGGTTTCCAGCCTCTCCTTGGTGTCAAAGAGCCCTGGAGTGTCAACAACAAGAAGGTGTCTCCCCTGCCATTCCCGGGATGCTTTTTGACAGGTCTTGGTAACAGCTTGGGCAGCAATTCTAGACTCAAAGATTTTCTCTCCAAGGATGGTGTTCGCTGTTCCACTTTTCCCACTTCCAGTTTTCCCTACCAGAACGATCCTCAGAGAGGGGTCCTCACTCTCAGCCATGGTCACGTCAGGAGGCTCTGGAACTTAGGCACGTACAAGACCTTAAAGAGGGGAAGATAGGAAAAAAAGCCGGTTTTGGTAAGTGGGATCCATTCCCAACCTTCTTTTCTGCTTTCTCTTTCTTCCTGAAAATTTGTAACATCCTATTATCCATATTAATCCCAGTAAAGACAGAAGGATGAAATAGTCCGATTAATATGGAAGAAATAACTAGAGAAAAGCTTGTTTAAAGAGTTTCCCCACAAAGAGTAAGTACCATGCCACCAGGTTATAGATCTCACAGGGGGATTCTATTAAACCTTTTAAGATCTGATCATCTCAAAGCTACCTAAAACTGCTCCTGGCCATATAAAAAGAAGGAAAAAGTTCATTTTTCTATGAAGCAAGTATATTGATCAAAGGCTGACAAATATTTCATCAATAAAGAAA